TCGTTGAACTACTCAACATACGATAAGGAGCTTTATGCACTTGTTCGAGCATTGCAAACTTGGCAGCACTACTTGAGGCCTAAGGAATTTGTTCTACACACTGATCATGAGTTGCTTAAACATCTCAAGTCTCAAAACAAGCTGAGTAAGCGACATGCACATTGGATTGCTTTCATTGACACTTTTTCATTTGTGATCAGGTACAAAACCGGCAAGAGCAATGTAGTGGCTGATGCATTGTCAAGAAGGTATACTCTAATCACTATGCTTGATGCAAAATTGCTTGGTTTTGAGTTGATTAAAGAGGCATACCCTAATGATTCTGATTTTGGTAAGGCATATTCAAATTTTCCTAAGTGTAGCCGAGAGGGTTATTCTATGTCCCATGGGTTTCTGTACTTTAAAAATAAACTGCACATTCTTAGTTGTTCTTTGCGTGAATTACTTGTTACGGAAGCACATGGTGGTGGATTAATGGGCCACTTTGGAGTGCCTAAGTCACTGTCTATACTCCAAGAGCACTTCCATTGGCCAAAGATGAGGCGAGACGTGGAACGTGTTATCCAAAGGTATGTCACTTGTCATCTTGCCAAATCCAAGGTACACCCATATGGACTCTATACTCCGTTACCTATTCCTGCCGTTTCTTGGGTTGATTTGTCTATGGATTTTGTACTTGGTTTGCCTAGGACTAGGTATGGTCATGATTCTATTTATGTGATTGTTGATCGTTTTTCAAAAATGGCACATTTCATTCCTTGTCACAAAACTGATGATGCTAGACATGTTTCTCACTTGTTCTTTAGAGAGATTGTTCGTTTGCATGGCATGCCACGTACAATTGTTTCTGATAGAGATGTTAAGTTCCTTAGCTACTTTTGGAAATCTTTGTGGGGAAGGTTAGGAACTAAACTCTTGTTTTCTACTTCTAGTCATCCTCAAACGGATGGGCAAACTGAGGTAGTTAATAGGACACTCTCTACTTTGTTACGTTCGCTTATAAAGAACAATTTAAAGACTTGGAAAGATTGTTTGCCACATGTAGAGTTTGCATACAACCGCACCGTTCATAGTGCTACACACTACTCACCTTTTGAAGTTGTGTATGGGTTTAATCCACTCACACCATTAGATTTATCCCCACTGTCCACTTCTCAACATGCTAACATGGATGGTTTGAAAAGGGCTGAGTATGTTCGAGATTTGCATGCAAAGATGAGAGCTAATATTGAAAAGAGGACCCTACAATATGTTCAAGGCGCTAATAAGGGTCGTCAAAAGGTTATATTTGAACCAGGTGATTGGGTATGGCTGCATTTGCACAAGGAAAGATTTCCCATGCAAAGGCTCAACAAGCTCATGCCTAGGGGAGATGGACCTTTTCAAGTTGTGGACCGTATTAATGACAATGCGTACAAGTTGGACTTGCCAGGTGAGTACGGGGTACATGCCACTTTTAATGTGTCTGACTTGCAACCTTACCTTGCAGGTGACGAGTTTGATTCGGGGACAAATCGCCTTCAAGAGGAGGGGGATGATAGCAGCTCGAGTAGGGGCCAACCAATGTCAAGTAAAGAGATAGTGGTTCCGCGAGGTCCAATTACGAGGAGTCAGGCTAAGCAACTTCAAGAGGCTATACAAGCCCTAGTTCTTCAAGTTCAAGTGCAAGCAGGAGGGTCAAGTGAAGCTCAAGGGCTCATAGTTGATGATCTTAAACTTTGTACACTTGTTCAAGTGATTGAAGCTGAAAATGAAGAAGCTTAGTTCCTATTTAAGGTTGTTAACTCGGCCAATCATTGGTTCCACTAAGGCCGAATGGTTTTTGCCATGTTTCCTAGTTTATTTAAGTTAGTTTTGTTAGTTTAATTGCTGGTTTACATAAAGGGAACCAATTCGGGCAGCTTGAGTCTTCAAGTGGGCCGAAGTGTTTTCCAAATAATTTTAGGGTTTCTTTTGTAAAGGCTATAAATAGCCTCCCTTCCTGTTATCATGGGGACGATCAGAATTTTACTCTTTCGTTTTCACTTGTGTGATAACAACTCTCTTTCTAAGAGATTCTTCTTTGAATACTTGAGCAATTACTTGAGTGTTCATTGGACTTATCAATCAAGAATCACACTTGATTGTGGCGTCTTCTACCTGTATTCTTTGGGTCATTTATTCCCTCTTGTGGGTTGCGATTAAATTCAAGGTTCGCAAGTTGTTCGTCTAGTGGAGTCAAGGAATTCCGCCCTTAACTTGATTTCAGTGCTAGATCCGTGACTAATGGGATACGAGTTCAGGCCTTCTAGGTGGGTTCGTATCAGGAATCAACAAAAACTAAGACAAAACTACGAACATAACGGAAGATACCTCTACCAAAACTCTGAAGCCAACTGATACGGTCCTCGATCAACACGTTTTGAGATACGTAGCACGTTTGCCCAAGGATCTAGTGAGGTTGTCCAACGCTTAGATTGCGGGACCTAGAATCAAACGGACAACGCGATTTGATTAAAGGCGGTAAAACGACGACTCCGATGAAGGTGATTACTCCAGGGAATAGGTCGGTAGAACAATCAACGACAAGCACGAGATTGCTCAAAAACCCTTGCCAGAAGCAAGTAAAGCTCGAAATTCTCACAAGGAAGAAAGTCGAAGACTAATTAATTTTATTCATAAAACGTCTACCCTTAATGCTTACAAAGCAAGCCTTTATATAGGCAAACTAACGAAACCCTAATGCTAGTAAAAGGAAATAAAGGTTCGGCCAGGCCTTGGATAAGGTGGGCCGAATCCATGACTCAACAAGCCCTACAACTAGTAACTAATCCAAACAATAACTTGACGGCTCAAGACTAAAAAAGGCCCAACAGTTGGCCGACTCCCTTTAATTGGAAAAACTACAAAGACTAACTAGCGGGCTAGAGCCCAAACTAACAACCATCACTTGGCTCCTCGTGGGCTTGGATCAATGTATAGGTAACTTGATTAACATCCTTCAAGCTTTCAAGGAGCCCAAACTAACAGCCATCACTTGGCTCCTCGTGGGCTTGGATCAATGTGTAGGTAACTTGATTAACATCTTTCAAGCCTTCAAAGTCCCGCCACCCGTGCACACATCAGGTGGTCAAATCTTTTTTCTTTTAAATATTATAAATGACAAGTGGATCCTCAAGCGTAATTAATTTTCTACATTAATAAATAATTCTTTCGATAAGATAAGTGAGTGGAATTGAAATTAAAAATATTACCTCAAGGATGTCGCAAAGTATATGTTCGTACTTAGTGATTGTTTAGAAGTAGGCATTGTACTCAAGGAGGGCAAGAATCGAGATATGTGTTCTCCAATCATCTAAGGTAGAGGCTCACGCTTTATCTTCGTTCAAGGTAAAGACTCGTGTTTCACTTTTAATCAGAAGTAAAGAATCGTGTTGATAACGTGTTGTAAAACTAATACTATTTTGATATAGGATTTGAGTTATTTATGTGGTGGGTATTATGCTAAGAAAAACAAGAAAACTAAAGAACTCAAGAGAAGAGAAAAGTAAAAAAAAACTATTTTAATGAAATTTCAATTTTCTTACTAATTCTATTACTTTGATATAAGGGGGTTAATCTTTATTTATAAGAGAATTCAAATTATGTCAACTAACTTCTTCAAAATGGTGATAAGATCTTCTCATAAGTTGTACCAAATTTATTATCTCAAAAGACGTGATAACTTTATCAAAAGTCATGATAGCTTTGGCATCTCAAAAGTTGTGATGAATATCGCTTATTCTGGTGTTTAGCAGTGGTGGTATACAATCTGTTTACGCACCAATGGAAACCTTTATACTGAAGCTCTTTTTCTATTATTTCTTTCCACCATATTCTTAATAATAGATTGGTTACACCTACAACCAAAATGGAAACCGAGTGTTTCATAGTTCAAAATTGCTAAATCTCTTCTGAATCACCAATTGTCAAAACTCTTTGACGGAAGTTCCTTGGTGTGATAACTTTGCCACCTTGAAGGATATGAAAAGCTTGTCATCATCTAATAGATGAGATAAATGTGATAGACGTTTACAATATTTAATTATTTCAAATAGTAGTAATGATAATATTACTAATATTAATTAATGGTTTAAATTTGACTATTTTGAGATTCTATCTATATATCCTATCTCATTCTACCTATACAAAAAGCGAGGGTTTGCAATTGAGATTCCCATCAATTGATTGCATCCTCTTAGGCCCCATTTGGAGTTGCGGTAAATTATTGAAAAGTACTTTATCTAATAGAATTTTTAATAAAAGCATTTATTAAGTGTTTAAGTACTTTTAAGTATATTGTTTGGATACATAGATGAATAAATACTTATTGTATTGGATAATGTGTAATTTTAAATTTTTTAAATATATATATCTCTTTATTTAGTTCATAATATAAGATAAATAATTAAATTTAATGTTTTATTTTTTAAAACACAAGCTATTCGAAAAGCAGGAAATTTTAATTTTTGCTAAAAGTGCTTTTAAAGCCAAAAATTTTGCTCCTAATTTGATGGGATAATTTTCACTGAATACCTCAAAGTTACTTTTAGCACCCAAAATTGCTTTTTTAACCAGAAGTAGCTTATATGTTTCTTGGTTGATTGAGATTATTGTGGCAATTGTTGTAATTTGAATCAATTTTAGTGGGTTTTTCGATTTCAACATGGATTGGCTGGATTTTCAATCATTTTATACTCCCTCCGTCCCATCCATTTGGTTATGTTTGGGGAATACAACTTTTTCAGAATAGTGATTTGATTGTGATGTTTGTACTTCTCTTTTCAATTTTACCCTCAAATTCAAATTTTAAATTTGAATGTATGATTAAAAAGAAGAATTATATTGAAAAGAGAGTGTAAAAGTTATTTTGATTTTTTTAACATGATAAAATGAATAGATCGTCTCAAAATGAAAAGTATAATCAAATAAATGAGACCGAGGGAGCAGCTTTTATTGTGTCAGTAAGCAATGTACTGAAACGTCACGCGGGAGGTGAAATCTTCCCCATCCCTTCTTAGCTAAGAACCCCACACTCCTCAATTTTCTCAAGTATTGCCAAAACGCTTTCCTTTCCCGAAGTCCCCAGAACCACCGCGCTGCTTCTTTATTCTCCTTAGCAACCGGTTCTCATCAAATAATTACCATCTCGGAATACTACTGTGTTTCTTAGATTTTCTATATCAAATGATTTCTCAGATTTTTCAAACATTTCTATATCTCTCGCCAATTTCATGTTACCATAATCGCTTATCAGAGTACCAGTCACCTCCTCCTCCTCCTGTAGTAGCTGTCATCTCACCACCACCACCATGCCATTCGATTTTCTGAGAATAGTCGAAGGTAATACCATCTATTATCTACTGCAATTAAAGAATAGAAGGAAATATGAAAATAAACTTACCTACTCTAATTTCACTTTAATTTTATTGCATTTGTTAGACCTTGATTCGACGATTCTAACGAATCTTTCTAATCGGCAATCACTGATCATTAAATTGAGTGATATAGCAACTGCACTGAAAAGCTCTGGAAATTGGTGTGAGCTCATGTTTTTACTCATCATTGCATGCTCCAATTGAGTAGCTTTTCTGGATATACATTTTGAATATCGGAATTAATCTGAGTTGTCTTTACAAATCCAAAGCTTTATTTTTGGTATCTGTCATAGAATTTGTGCAACATGTCTTTGGTTTTCGCAAAATAATCTTGAAAGTTGTACTTTGTTGGAAACTTTAGGTGACTTCCCATTTTTCTAGAATGGGTATATAGTGATAAATTTTCTAATTAGCAGCTGACAAATGATATGCTGAATTGGAATTTAATATAGTCATGATTAGTCGGTAAGAAATTTGTAGATGTAATTTTCTGGACCTTAAAAAAAAAAAAGAACCAACTTGAGGATGCGACACTAATTTGCAGTGTGAGCTGCAAGCTTCTGATTGCAGTGTGAGCTGCAAGCTTCTGATTGCAGTGTGAGCTGCAAGCTTCTGATTGCAGTGTGAGCTGCAAGCTTCTGATTGCATTTGTGCAGTTGTTGCGATTATGGTATAGGGAAGGAAGTACTCATGTAGTAGAGTAAAGATCATGCTCGTACACATGAGTAATCCATTATCTTGTTATAACGCATACTTCAATTTTTTTATTTTTGGAAATAAAAGGATTGTTTCTTGCTTTTGCACTATTTTATGTTCTTGGTCGTGGACCTACGCAAATGGTTTATGTTATCTCAGAATCAAATATTGTGAAGGCTACAAAATTATCAGAGGATGCATATGTTCAGGACATGTATCTGAAGGGGACCAAATATTACTTTTCTATATAGAGGTATTCCTTATCCTTGGGAAAAGATTTATGCATAGAATTTTTTGGTCAAACATTAGAGATTTGTTAAGGATTTCCAATTTAGTGGGCTTTCATTGATTTATTGACTTCATAAATTCTTTTAACTGATCTAAGTACAATTTTGTAGAAAATTGCAAACTATGGAAGAAGCACCTTTTAAGTTCTTTAAGCTATAGCTAGGTGAGTTAGTGGCTTTCCCTCAGTCATCAAAAAAGGTAACGAGGCATGTCAAAACTTGAAACTCTAGTTAATTATGTCAGCATCACTCAAACCTCTAGCGTTTGCCACCTTCCTCTTCATGAGGCAAATCATATAGAATCTTCCCTCTTTCTATCTTTCTATGTCTACAAATTTGTGCATAGATGGTACGCATGAACCTGTCTTTGATTGAACTGCGCAATTAGGATTTGCTTAATGCAAATTTTGCTGTTTGTATACAGCTAACATTTAATTGGTTTTCTAAGGTTGTAACTTTGCACATTGAAGTAGTATTATTTGTGCTCTAGGCCCAAATTTAGTCATTTTCTTGCTGGTTCTTTTTATTTGAAGATGAGGAGCAGAGTTATCAATTTATTCACTTGATTGATTTGCACTGTTAAATGGTGTATGTTTCATTTTCTTTTTGTTGGGTTAAGAGCTGTAGGGTGGAAATTTAAGTTTGTGTAAACAAACTTTGACATAGATGAGGAGTAATAGTAGTAAGCAAAGACTAACAAGGGATCAAAGGATATAGCACTGTTAAGGCCAAGCAAGGTACTGTGGGTTTGCATTTTTTATTCTTTGAATCATTGCTAATTCCATAGTGCCTAGCGCTGATTGATTGCTTTGGTGAAAATTGTTCGTGTACTTGAGCTTAGTTTCCATCCTGGAAATTGTGTTTTTCTGGGTGCACATAGTAAGAAGAGAATGGGGGAAAAATACACGTAGTTTCCAAGTGCTCCGATAACAATTACAATGCAGTAGTAAAGGTTACTTGGCCACAAGGAAAGTAAACACATTGTAACAATTGAACTATTAAGTTGTACTTTTCTGCAGTAGAATAACAAGTTTTGTTCATTCCTACTTCTTTTATATTTAAAAAAATGTTAGAGGGGGAAGGTTGTTCATGCATATTAGTTTACGATCTTGAAAGAATTCTTGTGAGTATTGAATTCTTTATAGTGGTTTTCCCTTATATTTAGTTTGATGTTAGATTATGTTTTAGATACATTTGTATTTGGAGGATAATAGTGGGGTGAATTTCAACTGACTATCCTCATAAATTAAGTAGTCTCTCCTTAAATTTGTTTCTTGAGAGAGGAGAGACTACCGGATGGTTCCCTTAATTTGCAATAGCCAAATTAAGTAAATAGCCTCAACTGCAAAAGCACAAAGCACGAAGTTGAAGCATCTTTGTCACAAAGGAAGTCATCATGTGAGCCTAATCTGCTCCTTTGCCATCAAAGCATAAATCATTACTTGGTTGAAAGTTTATGTAATTAACAAGTAATTCAAACATGATAAAACTTGAAACATTAAGATTTGACAATTCCATTGGATTGTGTATTTTCTTCTGAACCTGGACTCATGCAAATGCTTCATTTAAATTCAAAGCTTTGTATTTAACAACCTCATGAGTGTGAAATTGTCTACTAAATCATTCTTTCTGCTGTTTATGCACTTCATAGGAAGGTAACTATAATATCTGCAGAATTGCCACCTCATGTAAATTGGCCTGTCATATTAATTTTCTTTACCAATTAATATCCATTTGTGTCAGGCAATTTTATTCTGACATTTTGTTGGTTGTTTTGTGTTTTAAAGATACATTTATCCTTAGGTTAATGATATTTTAGGAATTCATCACACAATTATGAGAAATGCATTAAGAATGCTTTTTGCTCTGGATGAGAAGATGAGCAGGTATGAACTGCTGGATGAGAGCCAAAACAAGATCGATTATGACTTTTGAGAGCTCGCTCGACCATCATCTTTAAACACTCCTATTTAAGATTAAATGGCAAATTCAATCCACCATTCCAAAGTGCTCATTAGGAAAATGCATATTAGGTGTGAATGATATTTGATCTTAGTAAAACATCATAGGCTGAATTGGCTATTAATAGATTCTTCAGTCTTTAGTTAACTCTGATAATCTTTCCTTTTGGCTATATGCTAGACATTCCAAGTGCGGCTTTCAATTCAATCTAGTTCTACTTATATCAGTGAAACGAATGAAACTTGACAAGTACTATAGCCATTCAGAAGAATCTTATGGATTAGTTGGCATATGAACCCTGTGATTGCCTTGTTGGTTCAAAAAATGTGGTATGCACAGTCTTCTTTGCCTGGATAGTTATATATTTTTCAGGAAATTTGTTATGTTGTAGGGGCTGATGCACATGGGAATATGTTTCTATCTAATTAAAATTTCCCGGTCACTTTTAGTGATGAGGTTACTTTTAGTGATGAGGTAACACCATGTTTTTCCAAGGAAAAGTGTCAATAGTTGGATGTGTATTCATAGCTATGGTAAAATTTATTTGTGATAATCAGGTTATTGTGTCAAGATGGTGTGTAGTTTTGAGCTGACATGTTACCATACCATTATCCTTTTTCCAATGGTGAGGTGAATCGTAGGTTGAACTGAACAGGACTATCACAAAATTACTTGAAAATATATATTCTACTACGACATTACGATCAAGCATTCAGTGATTATTTCAGGTAGAAGTTAGGAATTCCAATGGTGCATGCGCATATAATTAAGTTGTTTTTCACTATTTTAAATTGAGGACTATTGAGGACCATTCTTCTTGTTTTCAGTTTTCCCTTCGTTGTCTTTTTAATTGTACCTCATAAGGTTTCACTTGTTTATTGAAAAAGATGCTACTTATTGCTGTGTTTTTTTGTTTTTCATTTCCATGCACCATTTGTACTTGGGATTTTTAAACCGTTGTCAACATAAAATTTTAATAGTTTTCGACCCTTTTGTTTGAGGAACCTTTTTCCTATAAGTTCCACCAACTTCCACGGAGAGGTTTTAGATGAGGCCTCCATTATTGTCATTAGAATGTCAACCCTTATTATATATGGGTTAGACATTAATATGGTAGTAAATATGCTTGTTATTCATACGAGTGTCAGACATTTTGTAATATATTGACTACAACGAATGCATCATTTGCTTCAGCCTTGAAACTTAGCAGTGTTATCCCAACAATTTTGTGTCCCACAATTTTACACCTCTAAGAGCATGGGCACGCATAGCGTACGCTTAGATTCAACTAGTATAACTGTAGTTTATGGGTTCTCTAATTTGAGTTTAAAATATAAGAAATTGCTATAAGTATGTTTATGGGTTCTCACCAATAGGGACTTCAATTCCCTCTCGCGGCTGAGGATAGCAATAGGCGCTGCTGCGAGGATGGAGCGGGGATCTCTCCCTCACCCCTCCCTAACCCAACACCCTTCCCCAATGCCCAGCTACCCATGCGTCTGCCCGAGTCCCCATTCCACTGCTGCGAGGCAGTCCCAGTGTCAAACATTGCTTGGCACTTTTGGCGGATTATTTTAGCTTTAGTATTGTAATATAATTGTTAATCATTACTCATTAATGTACAAAATTAAGGGAGACAATGTAATGAAATAGACTTCTTGTCGTGCCCCATTTTTAAAAAAAAAAAAAAAAAGTGGAATGAAAATGACTCTTGATTTTAGACGATAAAGGGAAAGGGGGGCTAAAGTGGGACTTAAAAAATGTGATGGATTGAACCCAAAAGATAGTTTAAAAAGGATTTTTGAGAAAAATGGAGTTGCCAATTGGTATTAAATTTAGGTGTACCAAGTCACTTAAAAAGGTTTTTAGTAAAAAAATGAAAAACTCCGTTCTAGACGACTTCATGTTTTTGAAAATGAGAGAAGATGTGTTTGAGAGTGATGATTGAAAAATGGGAAGGCAAAATTTTGATTGGCTCCAATCTAAGGTCCTCTGACCTAATTTAAGTCTAGGCTAATTTTTCTAAAGTAACTCGTGAACTTATTGCATTTAGATACATCTACATGGATGCAAATCTATACTTAGGAGGTTTTCGGGAGGGATGAAATATTCCTTCAAAATCTAATTAGTACCAATGCATTAATTTTGAAGTTCAATAACGATCCCTTGAAGGAGGCACGAGTATGCAAAATGTGACTCGAGCAAAAGAAAATGGCACGAGTATGCAAAATGTGACTCGAGCAAAAGAAAATTGCAACTTGCGTATATAGATATAATGTCCAAAGAAAAGTAATGCTACATTAATGGGTACAATAAACTAAGACTCGTGATACAATTTTCTTTTTTGTTGAGAATCAATGGGGTGTTACGGCTGAAAAGACATAATCGCTATTTTCATACACAAAGTGTGACCTTTCTAATCTAAACAAGCAATTGAGCTATTTAATTCCTTAATTCCTAAATGGGATGTAATTCTAAGTGAAATTGTTTGAACATACATGGGATAGAGGTATAAAATAGAGGGAAATAACATGCAAATGAGAAAAGATCCTAAAAATATGCATGAAAATGAAATGAATGGCATATAATACATAAATCTAGCATGCAAAAGGGTCTATGGGTTTAACATTGGATTAATCCATTTTTACAAATTCTCACTAATATCGTACTACTAAGGAAATTAAATGAGGAAAGAGTCACAACTAGTATTGAATTAGTGTGGTGATATCAACCATCATTTATAATAAAATAAGTAAAGCGTAAATTAAAACAAATAAACACATAAAAGCACATATAACATATAACATATAAACATAATATCTAGATACAAAAGTTCTAAGAACACATAAGCCACACCAGAAATACAAAACCTATATATTATATTGGAGTACACAACTACAATCTAAAGATGAAAAAAAAAAAGAAAATAGACCTATATATTCTATCTATTACATTTGAAGAGAACACAAACCTATTTATAACCTTTGATAATAAAAGAAAATATAATATAACTTATCTATTACACTTTAGGTATTCAAGTACCATTCAAATAATAAAACTTAAATTAAGTAAATAAACATAAAAATCCAAAAAAATCCAAAAAAAAATAAAAAGAATTAGTAAAAGAAACACATAAAGCATATAAACACATAGGGGTACACAAAAGCACATATTTTTAAGAATTTAAGAGATTATAGGAGTACCTCTCTTTTGAAATAATAGGCTAAGATAAATACAATATCTACTAACACTTAAAGCATAAACAAACAAGTAAAGATACCACTACCTTTGAAATACTCTTTAAAAGAAAGCATTAAAAATTTGTTAAATCCACATTATCATGCTAAACATGCAAAGGAACTTGAAAACACCTAAAATGAAAAGTTAATGTATTCAAGATAAGCATAATTAGCAACTAAGAAGAGGAAATAACTATAGTTGAGAGATCAAAAAGTTGCTAGGGACTAAATTACAAAGACTAGAACACAATGTGATTTTTCAAAAGATGAGGGACAAAAATTAAATAAGAGAAAAGTGGACCAAATTGCAATTAAAATAAGGACTTAAATGAAAGAAATTTAAAGTTTTGAGCTCTAGTAAAATTATTTAAAAATTTAGGGGTCAACCTACAAATTTATTTTCCAATTTAAAAAATCCATTTAATGAACTTAATTGAAATGGATTTGACATCAAACGAATCAAAACGACATAGTTTCCTAAAAAGTTATTTTTCTTTTTCTTTTTTCTGTTGATCTTGATCCCTATCTTTTGATGTTTACAAAACAAATGGATATTACTAATGTCTCTTAAAAGATCTATTCAGTTATGAAGCAAATTAGTTTCAAAGATCAAGTACAATTGAAAGATGACAAAGTATGCTGAAGCTGTCGGACGCTCAAGAAGTTAGGATCGGACGTCCGATAATCATTGTACAACTTCGGACGCATGCTTCGGACGTCCGATAGGATCCTTCGAAGTCGACGAAACTATCGGATGCTGAATATGTCTCTACCGGACGTCCGATAGAAACAAGATAATTTCTCAAATCTGTTTGTTTGCTGTCGGACGCAAAAAGAGCTTGCACCGGACGTCCGAAAGAATTGAAGAAAATCTCTGAAACTCACTGCCTGCTGTCGGACGCATAAAACAGGGCTATCGGACGTCCGACACTCCAACAGCTAGTTGACTCTTCAGCTACTTTCTATCCGTTGGAAGCTTTAATGAAGCTCTTTCTTGGTCCTATATAAATAGTGATTGGTCAGATACTTCAAACAACTTTGGCACACTGAAGATACAAAAGATCTAGAGAGATTTTAGTGAGAAAATACTCTTTAAAGAAGATTTTGTAGTCTTAGTGGTGTGAGGTTCATTGTAAGCTTTTCATTTGTGAGTGAATATTTCATGAGTGTAGCTCTGTGAGGGTTGTCCTAAGGGATAGTAAAACGTCTTGGTTTGACCGAGGGAGTTCGGGGCAAGGAGGAGGTGAACCTTCCTTTGTACACAAGAGTGATTGTAATTCATCAACTTGAAGTAGCTTGTTTGAAGCTCAAGAGGAGCTGGGTAGTTAATTGGTTTGCAATTCTTTCCTTTTACTTATTGTTACATTTATGATCTTTGCATTGTTTATCTCTTTCACTTGGTTGTTTCCGATCCTTACAATTGGTATCAGAGCTTGGTCTCCTTGAGATTAAGCTCAATCGGCTTGGGAGTAAAAATGACAACCAATAATGCTATGTTTTTTGAAGGACATTCTGTTATTAGACCACCTATATTTAATGGGTCAAATTATATGAGTTGGAAAGAAAGAATGATTATCTTTTTGTAATCTATTGATATCGAATTGTGGTTTATTATTAGTGAAGGTCCATATGATGCCTCTCTTATAGATGAAAATACTCATGCATCTAGACCGAAAACAAGAAGTGAACTGACTGCTGTGGATAGAGCTCATCTCGCCTTAAATCCAAAAGCCATGAATGCGTTATATTGTGCATTAGACTCAAATGAATCTATTAGAGTCAAGGGTTGCAAGTCAGCTAAAGAAATTTGGGACAAACTAAAAGAAATTCATGAAGGTAGTGAGAATGTTAGAGAACAAAAGAAGTCCATTCTAGTTACAAAGTATGAATCTTTTAAGATGGAACCTCATGAAAATGTTGATCAAATGTATTGTAGATTCAATGATCTCATTAAAGATTTAGAGGTGCTGGAAAAAGAATATTCTCTTGGTGAGAAAAATAGAAAAATTCTGAATGCCTTGTCCAATGATTGGGAAAATAAAGTGACTGCTATTGAGGAAGCTAGAGATTTGAATACTATGCATATTGAATCTCTTATTAATTCTCTTACCTCTTATGAGCTGAAACTTAAGACTAAGGTGCAAGAGGAAGAGGATGCAAAAGTGCGAAAGAATATTGCTCTAAAAGCCTCACAAGATGAAGATGATTCTGCCTCCCTAGATGAAGAAGATGTGGAAGGTGATGACAATGATATCGTTCTCATCACAAGAAGTTTCAAACGAATACTCAACAAGAGGAGATTCAGAAAAGGTGGACCTAGCAATTCATTCCCAAATCAGTTCAACAACTCGAGAAACAAAGGGAAGCTAGAGTTCAACAAAAAGCAAACTGATCAGTGCTTTGAATGCGGCCAACCTGGACACTATGCAAGTGACTGTCCAGTGATGAAGAAGAAAGAAGGAAGAAAATCAAGAATAAACAAATTTCAATTCACATGGAATGAATGCAATTTCGATGATGAAATTGAAGAGGAAGATCAATCTGCTCAATTGGCTTTCATGGCCATTGGAGATGATGAGGTAACATCTTCTAACTCTCAATCTGATTGTGATGATGAAACTGAAGATGATCTTGAACATTTCATTATAAAATTGCATGATAGTTTGAAAGAATCTTATGCTAGAAATAAGGAGTTAAAACTGAAAATTAGTTTTTTGTTTCGAGATAATGCAAATCTTTTTCAACAAAACAAAAAGTTGATTGCTGAAAATGATTACTTCAAAAAGAGTGAGACTGCTTTACATTTTGAGCTTGATAGAAAAGCAAAACTTTGTGATTTGTTCAAAAAGGAACAAGGTGATTTGAAAAGAAGAATGGATGGTCTAAATGAGTTGTTTAAACACAAGAAACAAGTCTGTTTTCAAAAGAATAGGTTGAATTCTAATTCAAATGAGTTTGCTATCCATAGGAGAAGACAAGTAAGATTTATTAAACCTGTTCATGTAAATAACTTTTTGGTTATGTGTAATTTTTGTTGTCAAAAAGGTCACATGAAAAGTGATTGTTATGTGAGAAAAAATATGAGAAGAGGCATGAAATGCATGTGGATAGTTAGACATGATGCTAATTTTAACAAGTAGGAGGTTTTGTCTAATCATTGCAGTGATTCTTGTTCATAATATTTTTTCTTTTGATACTTTGATCTGAGTTTTCGCTGATATCTTTGAATACTACTGAATCTATATGATGTCAAAAAGAGAGATAAAAGAATAATGCTGATCTCATGATGATTTGCTGTGATTGCTGTCATTTCTCTATTTTTTCTTGGAATATTGAATTCTCTGTTATTGTTGTTGGATTATAGTAGTTGATTTTTACTCTTATGATGACAAAAAGGGGGAGAAATGGATGCAATGTGTAAGGGGGAGTTATTCTGAGATTATGAGTTTGGCTCTTAAAAGTTTTGGTTGCAATGATTGAGGGGGAGCTTATACTTATTTTTGTTTCTTTCCATCCATTGTTTTGTCATCATCAAAAAGGGGGAGATTGTTGATCTTGATCCCTATCTTTTGATGTTTACAAAACAAATGGATGTTACTAATGTCTCTTAAAAGATCTATTCAGTTATGAAGCAAATTAGTTCCAAAGATCAAGTACAATTGAAAGATGACAAAGTATGCTGAAGCTGTCGGACGCTCAAGAAGTCAGGATCGGACGTCCGATAATCATTGCACAACTTCGGACGCATGCTTCGGACGTCCGATAGGATCCTTCGAAGTCGACGAAACTATCGGACGCTGAATATGTCTCTACCGGACGTCCGATAGAAACAAGATAATTTCTCAAATCTGTTTGTTTGCTGTCGGACGCACAAAGAGCTTGCACCGGACGTCCGAAAGAATTGAAGAAAATCTCTGAAACTCACTGCCTGCTGTCGGACGCATAAAACAGGGCTATCGGACGTCCGACACTCCAACGGCTAGTTGACTCTTCAGCTACTTTCTATCCGTTGGAAGCTTTAATGAGGCTCTTTCTTGGTCCTATATAAATAGTGATTGGTCAGATACTTCAAACAACTTTGGCACACTGAAGATACAAAAGATCTAGAGAGATTTTAGTGAGAAAATACTCTTCAAAGAAGATTTGTAGTCTTAGTGGTGTGAGGTTCATTGTAAGCTTTTCATTTGTGAGTGAATACTTCATGAGTGTAGCTCTGTGAGGGTTGTCCTGAGGGATAGTAAAACGTCCTGGCTTGACCGAGGGAGTTCGGGGCAAGGAGGAGGTGAACCTTCCTTTGTACACAAGAGTGATTGTAATTCATCAACTTGAAGTAGCTTGTTTGAAGCTCAAGAGGAGTTGGGTAGTTAATTGGTTTGCAATTCTTTCCTTTTACTTATTGTTACATTTATGATCTTTGCATTGTTTATCTCTTTCACTTGGTTGTTTCCGATCCTTACATTTTCTTTCCCTCTTTTCCTTTTCTTTTCTTTCATTTCTTTTACTTCTTCCTCCTCCTTTCTTCTTCTCTTTTCTTCTCTAGCAGACTCATCAGTAGCCATGACAACTTTGACTATGGTAGCGCCCTCGACAACAGGTAGCTTCTCCAATCACCAAACTTCACTAAAATCACCACCCCACTCAATTTTTTGCGTAGATTACATTTTTGGTGTTATTTTTACAGAAAACGA